TTGACAATAATTTTATAGCTCCCTTACTGGTACTGGCAAACTAAATTTTCTTTATAAGCATTCAAGCAAATGACGAGATTGTTTTGCAACAATATCCACTGCAGATCTTTTAAAATATAGAAAGACCTTTTCCTTAAAAAAACACATGAGGAACTATTTATCTATCTTTGAACTTTAGTCTCCAGTTAAGGTTTTTTTTTAAAAATCATAAATATACAAAGATTTGGCACTAATAAAGGTTGCTTTAAGACTTCTAAGGGAAAATGTTTGTAAAACATTACTGAATTTTATTAAAAATAATTATGTTACTGACAGTGAAGCAAACTATTAACATTTACAGACATAAGAATGGGACACAATAAGCTTTTTTAATATGAAATTATTTCAGGGCAGACTCAAGACATCAAGTCAACAGAAAATGACCCATAATTCAGGATGAAGTAAGAATTAAATGCATATAGAGACAAAAAGGATGATGTGACTGATTGTGAGAAAACAAAACGTCACAGTGATGATGTGACTGATTGTCCAAGCTCATCCAAGGTTAGGTATAACACATGTTATTAGGAACAGAGTAAAGAGCTATACTCCTCATCTGTTACCTATACCTAATTTGGGATTACTTAGGGTTAGGTACAGGACTGTGGAGTCCTGTAGCTCAGTGGTTAGAGCACTCGCTTTGCAAGTGAGAGACCTGAGTTCAATTCCAGGCAGAGGGAGAAACCTTGGGCAAGTTTCCTTACTCCACACAGAGCCTAATAATAATCTCTCCAAAAAAACAGTAATAAAATTGGTTATTTTCAATCCATGATTGTTTGTGGGACATTGCTGTGCGCAATTGGCTGCCGCATTCGCCCACAAATATACAGTCAAATTCACTCTACAGTATATTCTGTGAAGCGCTTTGGGACGTCTAGAAGACGTGAAAAGCGCTATATCAAATGCAAGGATTATTATTATTATTACTCGGTAACAACAAGAGGAACAAAATGTGGAATAGTATTTCATCTTGTTTAACTACTTTTTTTAAAAAAAGGCACAATGTACAAAGTAAACTAGAGAGGACAGATGACAAGGTTATGCTATTGCCACTCTGGACTTTGGCGGTGAGCCATTTGTTTGGACGACCGGTTTTTAATGCATTAGTGGCTGCTCGCCAGTCAAGTGAAACACTATATCTGTCATTCCAGACTCAGATGTCTATCCATAGAGAACAGAATCAATCTATGTGCTGGGTTGCTAAAAAATCAGTTGCTTGTTAAATGACCTCATTTTTGAATAGTTACCTCTGGATAAAAAGACACATTCAGCACATATTTTTTAAAAAGAATATGACACCAACAGGGACCAACCATCTTGGTCAGGTGGCCTCATCATTACCACTGTAAATAAAAGATGACATTCTGAACAACACTACATTCTTGACTGGAGGAGGCAGCAGAGAGACAAAGTTGAAAAGAAGGAAGTTTAATAATTCATAATGTATTTAATAAGCTTCAAATTGCCTCAGGAAGAAATAACGAAGGGGTGGGGTGGAGAGAAGAAGGGACAAAGCTATATATGTAAAGATCGAATTGTATTCAAAGTATGAGGAAAACCACACAAAAGGCAATTAATAATAATCCTTGCATTTGATTCCACTTTTATATCACAAGTTATTTCCAGAGCCAAACCAGTTTTCAGAAGCAATTCCTGAGCTGCACTGAACAATGTGCTCAATGTATTTTTATATCCTGAGGTAGTCACCTACCATTCAACATACTTTTTAGCAACTCTAGAAGCAAGTAGAATAAGCGGTTTTCCCAATTCAACAACATCAACTGCTTGTATTTGTATAGCACCCTTCACATAGCATGATGTCTCGGAGCTCTTAACAATGACGGGGTTGGATTTCGGATAGGGAGAAGGGGGAGGTGACCATTGAGAGTCAAAGAGAGACTTTAAGGCAGGACACAGGTTAATATTCACTTGAATAGGCAGATGGGACCTGGTTTCACATCACATTTGAAATATAGCACCTGAATCAGTGTCTTTTGTGGCAGTGATAGATCTCAAACGTTCCAAAAATGGAAATTTTCTTCCAAGGAAGGAGTTTGTGAGGGCGCTGTCCTTTCTGAATACTGGACAAAACAAAGTGGATCTACCTCTGCAGCATGGAACTCATTTACCCTGCAAGCTGAAATACAAGCCAACTATGAAAATTTGATGACGAGTGTAACTGATAGTATTGCAAAGAGAAACAGACAAATTAAGATATATTAAAAAGGTAGTGTTAACCCTTCCAGCTCCAGAGGCTAGTCTAATTGGCTGGGTGTTGCCAGCCTGAAAGAGCTGTTAAATAATAAATCATTTAAGTAACAGACATTTTGGAGAACTTCAGCACAGTGGGTGAGGTTAGGTTTTATGCGGTCAGTAGAAGGAGTAATCTGGATGGACTGACAAGTCTTTTATTGCTCTATGCTCTACTAAGCTTGTTTCAACATCACACAGAACAAACCGAAAATGTTAGAACTCGTCAGAAAGGGGAGAATGGAGCTTTCTTGTTAAAGGAATTTTGTTAAGACTTTGTATCAAGGGAAAAGTACACAGTAATTTAGTAAAACTTACACATTTTCTTTGAAGATCAAAATTCATTGTGAAAGACTCAAAACATTCACATAACACTCAATTCTCATGAAATTGTTCTCCGTGTTGTACTTTTAAAGTACGTTTGTACGTGTTGTATATTTCGACCACAAAATACACAGTCAATTCACTTTATAGTTTATTCTCTGAAGTGCTTTGAGACACCTCGAAGACGTGATAAGGCGTTATATCAAATGCATGGATTATTATATCAACAAGATGCATGACACTTTAAATCTGAGCTATTCTTGATTAAGATGTAATTGGTCTAATTTAAAAAAAATGTTTTCAAGGGAATGGCTGCTACGGTTTCAAAATTACACACAAATCATTCACTGAAAGCAATATTGAAATCCTCATTTTGCAATGTACAGTACTAACCTTTACAAAACAAAGTCACTGCAGTACAAAGGCATTGCATTTCATCGCAATTCGATTTTGATGTCATACATCAGAAATATTAGAGTAATTTCTTTAGTTTTGACAGTGATTGATCTTTAAAGGTGTTTAAGCTGGTAGTTTTCAAGCCAGAAGCGCAAATTATACATTGTGAATGTAAGAATGTTCCAATCTCTTTGTAAAGTGCCAGTCAAATTTATTCTACTGCTTAACAGTATTATTAAGACTCAAATAGTCTTACTTGTTATACGATAATATGTTATAATGATCTATGCATGGATTCTTCCTAGAGGGTATGAATGATATATTCATTCCGATATACAGTTTAATAATTCTTTTGTCTACAGAGATATTCTCTTGAGCATTTTTGTGAGACTAAACAACACTGGGTTGCTTGCCTTGCTTCTGAATGATAACAGGAAGCTGTTTTGACAAGTCTTTAGGGTTCAAAAGAACAGCTTCCATGGTTGGGTACTTGTAAAATGCATGCCAACTGGCCTTTAGCACATAATTTAATCTAAAGACTGATTCAACCTAATGCAGTTAATGTGGTTAGAAGCCAAGACAAATAACTATGGTTACTGCTGCTTTGATTTTCATAATATCAATCAACGACCCAATGCTGCCAAACACACCACAGTAAACATGGACTTGTGTCCAGGGAAGTAATTCCGCTCTGCTATAAATTAAGATTATACCATACATTTACCTGTGACAGACTTCAATTTTTAAGAGAACACATATTTACGAAACCTATTAAGAACACACAGCTTTGTGTTCTTTCCATAACTGGAAACAAAATTAGACAGGGGTCATTTATCTTGACCAGACTGCTCAAGCCAGTCAACTGAATAGAAGTTTTGGTTATAAAATGCAAATACATTATATCTGGCCAAAACAGAACCCCAATTAATTTATTCTCAGCAGAGTGAATACTGGAGCATCAAACCCTTTAGAAACAGATGTCACTTTGTACATGAACTGGCATCAGAAACATGTATTGCGAGTGACACAATCAATTTAATACCTATTTGTATCTTATCGTGGACACATCTGTGCTGTGCATTGAGACTATCCAATTTCATTTGATTTAGCACTTACACAGCTGTTGAAAGTGTAGGCTCTGGGCTGCAATCCCAGACTTAAAATCTGCCCCCCTCAAGGACACTGTCCTTGACACCTATCCATTTTCTAGTTCGGAACAGCTTTTTTTCTTACTGAAAAGTAGCTTTTATATCACAGTTTTTCCTCAAAAGTAAATCCAGCAGTGTTCCTGGAGACTGGACACATTTGAGAATCAGCTTGATGCTGGAATGAGATATTGATAGAGTGGTAGATTAATCCAGAACAAATACTTTGTCTGAAAATCAAAATTGCGTGATCAAAATCCTATCATTGTGAAAAATGGCCATCTTCCAGTTTGTTGGGTCACTGCACACTGCACTTCACAAAGGGAGTGATGATGTCAGTGGCAATCTGACAGCCCATAAATAAATTATTTGGTTGTGCCTCTTTGCAACGCAGGGCTTGAAGCTACGCTATAAAGGGTTAAAGCACAAACCACTGGAAACTTTTAAGATGCAGAATACAATTACTGCAAAATGGAGCAAATATTCCAAAAGGTTTCAGGCACAAACATTTTTGGTTTTGTAATGTATGCTTAGAATTTCCATAGAAGCATTTCATACAGCACTGTTTTATTATTTTTTATCCGTGTGCTTTGAGTTATCCGCACTTCAGTACTAGCTACCGAGTACAGTGCCACCTGTATTTTATCACGTGAGGTGGGGGTCAAAGGACTGAACACTAAGTGTAGAAAAACAGGTCGTCAATCGAGTTCTGCAAAACAAATAGGGACTTAAAAGAGGAAATCTCAGTGGATTAAATAGTCATAGTATATACAACAGAGATATTTTTGTAAGTCATGATGCTTTCATCAAGCACTAGGCCTGCGTGGCTGTGAATTTACAACTTACCCAAGCCTCCCGAGCAGCTCAAATTCTGGAACTTTAGGCCCATATGTCTCCACTTGCATTGGCTGGTAAACATATAATGCCTCTTCTATCTTTGGTGGTGGCTGCAAGGATATTTGTTGACCCTGTTCACACAATAAGACATGGAATATTAAACAATTCTTAATGTACCAAAAAATATGTGTTCCACATTACATCTGTTGCAGGGAACTAGCTGGACTACAATGCAGTTCCAGTTAAATTTATTTAACGGTAACATGGCAGATTACTTCACATGTAATTTTGTTGTTGATATGTCGGGGAATGCACACACCCGCACACGTAATTTTTAATCATTTTGCCAGAAAGATAATTAATTCTACTTGCTTAAGAGTACCTTCAGCAAATAGGATTTTGAAAGCCCAAATTCAGAGGTGGTCTTTGACACTGAACTGCTTTTATCATTTGCAGCAAAGATATAGTTATACCAATAAACTGATGAACTTTAAAAAAAAATAAGTTTGAATGTTCTTGGACAATCAATTAAACCCAACCCTTATATTTCCAGATCACACTCTTTTAGTTGAAAACTATGGAATCAAGAGGAGTCAGCAAAGATCAAAATAAAGACAGCTTGATAGGGTTTGCATATAGGTTGACTTGGCAAACAAAGTTCAATACAGGTAAATACCCTGTGCTGTATATAGGAAGTAAGAATAGAATATGTAGAGTATGTATTCTGGAAGGATGAGATTAAATGGACCGAATACCTATTCATCCAAAACTCTCTTATGATCTTGCAACAATTAATATTTGTTCGCTAGTTGATGCTGACTTTCATTATCTCAAGGTGGAGGCTATTTTTAGGAAATAAAATGAAGCGTGCTGATGACTCGATTAGCTAGCTGAACCAGTAACTGACTTAACCGTGAAGCACATTAAAACAGATTTTTACCATTAAAAGGGTAACCAATATTATGGTAATAGAAATTTAAAATTGTCTGTCCTTAGTTTGGGATTCACAGCATCTTAATTAAAAAGGTGGCAAAGCTTTTGTAATGTGTAGGTGGTTTGCGAACATTTAACTGATCCAGGGAATGGGGGATGGGGAGGTGCAAAGAGAAGCTCTGATTCCGTGAAGGTTTTTTTTCACTGACGGAACAACCACCTGCAACAGCTGCAACAACAAAACCGTTCAACAGAATGTTCCGAGAACACAAAGGCATCACAATTCTTAAAGCGAAGAGACGGGCAATAAAAAAAAACAAATAATTTAGAGGCAACCTCGGATTAGTGTCAGCCTGGTAACGCTCTCGCCTCAGAGTCAGAAATTTGGAGCTCAAGCCCCATGTGAGGTTTTGAACTCAGAAACTGCAGGCTGACATTCCAATGCAATGCTGGAGATGTGCTGCATTATTGGAAGTGCCATCCTTCAGATGAGATGTTAAAACTGAGAATCCCTTAGCCCATTTAAGTGAATGTTGAAGATCCCACGGCACAATTTGAAAAATGAAGGAAGTTTCTCCCAGTGTCCTGGCCAACATTCCCCCATAAAAAAATAAAGATAAAATTGATCATTCACTTCATGGTTGTTTGTGAGATTTGGTTATGTTTAAATTGGCTGCTGCATTCCCCAAGAAAATACAGTTACTATACTTTACAGTAAATCCCATGAAGCGTATTGAGACAACCTATCATTATCAGTTCAACTTTTTTTTAAAAAAATGAAAATCTGCCCCAAATTATTTTGAGGTCACATTAATAAAAAACAACTAACATGCTTAGATTTAGTATTTTGGCAATATCATACTATTTTTATTGACTTGTAGTTTGCCTAAATACAGAAATATTGCCCTTGTTGTGCCTTGAGCAGGTTCGCTATACCAAGGTCACACAAACTTAGCACAGTGTCATATTATTTGCTACCAAAAACTGGACCAATGCTCAGTTTAGAACACGTGGCACGAGAACTGCACTTTCAAACACTGCTGCCTAGTAATAGGTTTACATCTTGTTTCTAAAGGTACAACTATTCAGGTTTGATAGACTTTTTAGCTCAGGGGAAAGATGACCAAATGCACAGTCAAAGAGGTAGATTTTGAGGCAGACCTTGAACGAGCTACGAAAGGAATGTGCTGGAGGGTCTACAGAATGGAGTTCTGGAGAGTGAGGGCAGAAAGGCTGATTGCCCATCCACCGATGGTGGGGCATATAGGATGGAGAACAGGAACCAAGCCAGTGCACACTGAGTGAAGGGAGGGGCCAGGACGATAGGAATTGAGGAACACTGCGATATTTTAAGAACCTCAGAAAACTGATTTCAAAGATAAGACTGAACTCAAATTTACCAAATTGTGCATGTTCTAAAATGCTACATAAATAGAGTAAATCTAGACCCAGGTGGAAATTCTTGCACATAATTTGTGATGCCTTGAAATTGATCTTTTTTCAGAAATTGATTCACAAAAGTGATTCACAAGGAGGAATCCATCAATGTTGCACGACCCGATCATCTAACACTCAAACAAAATGACTCCTAAATAGGCTTTAATATCCACTTTTCCACCCCATTAATCAAAACCTTAAAGCTTAAACACTGCTTATTGCATTCAAACTGTCTGTTGTAGAAATGTAAATTATTACTTTCTGCTGACACTTTTAAAAATGTGGATCTACCAAGCGTAACTGATTCTCAATGGGAATCACTCTTAGAGAAAAAAACTTAACTGGTTTTCTGCATAATTCCTGTAGATTGGTTACTGTGTAATTGCCTCTATTTCTTTCAATTTACTGTTTTGGATTACAACCTCTTAGTTTTGGCAATGGTCTGACCTTGTCGAGTGTGCAAGTGTCAAGTGTTGGGTGGCAAATGACAGCTTTAATGCTGTATGGGTTAAAATCCAGTTGTTATGATGGAAAATGTATTACTGTACAATTATATACTGAGAGGTTTGTTGAAGTTGCATTTGTACATATACTTAGCGCTGCACCAGTTGCCATGGCACATGTTGATGCCAATCAGACATTTGCTGCCACACTTCCCAAAATCTAATTAATCCTGGTATTCTGTCCTTTGCCGCCCCCACTACTCCCCCCAAAACAAAATCTGGCTAGTTGCCAGTACATCAAACTTTTTCTAAAATCAGTTTCTAACTGATCTCCATTTTTTTTCAGATTAAGGTCACTTGATAAACATCATCTTGAACCACCTCACCTAAACAGTAGGTTTTATAGAGTTTTGCCTGTCATTGAGCTTTCTATGCTGCACAGACGAGATGTAAATGGCTTAAGCACTGTTGTATATTCTCATTCTACTGACCTCTGAAACGACCTATGCAAACACAGTCATGCATTGCACTGTGGCATAAATCTTCACAGACAAGTAAAACCTGTTCTGTTTGGCACACAGCCCTATAGCTGTAAGAGCTACTCATATTTATGGGGGGAGGGTAAGAAGGGGCCACATTTATACAGTACATATCGTTCATCACATGGCAAACAGCACTGTAAAATCTAATGATCTAACAATCAGCTGAATGGATGCAAACAAATAGGACGTCCAAAAATATATACATTTTTGATAAATTTTAATTAAATTAACAACCAAACTTTATAGACATCGATAATTCTTTCAACAATTCGATTGCTGCAAACCACCTTTATTCACCTTCTTGTGTCTGTCTGACAGCAGTGTGCTTTGGGAATAGATGGTTTGAAATAAAATAAATTGATTTGAGATTTGAAAATGTAATAGCTAAGGCTATAGCCTATTAATACACCAACTATAAAACAATACCTCAGCTTTAACGAAGATGATGTTAGTGCTCACCATTCTGTAGTTAAAGGGTGGCAGAGCTGGGACTAGCACACCCTTGAAACTACTCCCTGAAGATGAAGGTGTCAGAAACGCCTCGGTACCCCTACCTTAATGGAGATGCAGAAGCTTCTCACACAATGGGGTCTGGATTGTTCTTTATAAACTATTTATTTATAAATATATTTTATTGAAAAAAAATGCTTCCAGTCAGCCTGGATACACAGGACACGAGTACTATAAGTGATGAAGTGCTAAAATGGGGTGGTGGGGCACTTACTCCAGGTTGACTGGTATATAAAAAAATTGTATTAGTCACAGTGTGCATTAATTACTCAAACGAATTGGCAATCTATCTGAACTCAACCACAACTTGTTGATGTGTTTTTGTTAAGAAAACTGCAGTTTAGCCCGAGGTCACAAAGCACTACACAGAAAACTTCAAACTCATCCAGAACAAAACCTCTGTGTTACCAATAGGCAGTCAGAATTTGGATTTTTGCCATTAATTAAAGCTCGCATCAGTTATGTCAATTGAAATTATTGTGGGGATTTCCAAACTCCTGTAATAACTGCTACTGACAACCCAAACATCTTCCTCCACATAATACAGTATTTGATGATCTTGGAACATCTCAACACCTTGCAGGATTCTTTGTAATCATGCATCCTTTAGCGAACGCCATATAAGCTGTCTTTTCATCCAAAACCAGATTCAATGTCATTTTCACTGTTAGCCAGCAATGAGAAAAACCACAAGGTAGATACCTCAACCATTCTTGTAATCCTTGCATTTGATATAGTGCCTTATCACATCAAATGTCTTGAAGTGCTTCACAGTAATCACTATTAAGTATAGTGACTTTATTTGTAGGTGAACACAGCAGATAACTTGAATTGAACGATCAATTTAACTGGAAGATTTGTTAGCCAGGACACTGGGAGAAACTATGTTCTCTTCTTGAATATTATTAGGGTTTTTTTAATTGCCACCTGAAGAGGCAGACAAGACCTCGCACGTGAAAGACAGCACCTCGAACAGTGACGTGCTTCCCCAACACTGTGCTGGGGATGTCAACCTACACCATAAGCTTAAAAATGAGTGAAACAAAGATAAAACTAAAACCTCTAAGCAACCAGCTGATGCCAAAGAAACTCCAAAAGAAACCTTTTTAATGCCATCTGAAAATGTATGAATTCGAGGTCATTAAAAGTTATTCAAAGTTTCTCTAATCATCTATCTGCCTTCCTGATTGACTCGTGTGGTGGATTTCGAGCACAGGTCAGAGGCAGTTGCTCCAAAAGGTCGTCTCAAAGCGAGAATGACTTTGAGCTTTTAAGAAGTGAAACAGCTGCATTCCCTACAAGGAATGAACTTTCCCGGTGGGCACTGACACCGAACCAGTTCAGGCTTCTCCACAAGCATTAAAGTGAACCGCAAGATCACAGATCTGGATCAAGATTCATTGTCGCCATATGTCTGCATCACATTATTATAACCTGTATCATGTTAATTTAGGGGGTGGGGTGGGATTATGAAAGTATTATAGAATTGAAATGCTCTTTTTATTGCTTTCACGAAAGATGTGAATGAACAAAATGTCCTAGCGCTCTACAAAAATCATTTAAATCTACTTGAATATTCAGTATCAATGTGCAGTGATCCTTCCAAAAGAAGCGGAATGCTATTGTTGCTAACCAAAGTGTGCCATTTTCTCTTGAACTCAGCAACTATCAGAGGCACCATCTATCCAGCCATATTATTCTGACGAGCTGGGGCAAGGAAAATGGACGGGAAAAGCACTCTGCAAAAGTATCTGAAATCCCCCTGTGATTTATACACCCAGGCACCTGAAATCAGATTGAGTCCATTTAAAAGCAGAAAGCCTCTATAACAGCTTCTGGGAAAGCAGCGCTCAGGGTCATGGCTTTTGTCTTGATATCATTGATAGTCAATATATAGCCTTATTAACATCATCTCTGCACTACCTTAGCCACACATCTCATTATCAAGTTCACTAATACAATTGTTACTCTAGTTACATCCTGCCCTTCCATCACCACACCATTCCACTAACAGATGCCACCATTTTAGTTGCTTCTATTGGATTATCATTTTAGTTATGAGACTTACAATGCCCTCATACTCACCCCACCCCCCAAAAGAATTTCCCCTCTTCCTCTCCTAAAAACATCAAGACACTGCAGCACCAGGTCAAAGTGATCTTCTCATTCCAGGATTTCCAATCCCCAGAAACTGAGCATGCACAGCACTACATAAGGCAATATGTGTTAATAAATTATCATGTACTAGTTGCTTCAGAGCAGCAATTTATGGGTACCACCAAAAATGGAAACCTGAGTGCTATCTAAACTCACAAAAATAAATTTCACGAAACAATGATGGTCTTGTTTGAAACAATTGTTGTTTACTACCTGGAACAAAAAAATAAAAGGATTAAAGACTTGGGGGGAGGGGGGAAAGGGGGAGGAGAAGGTGCTTTCCTCTTGCCTTAAGGATAAGAAATTTTAACGCTGTACATGGGCATCATGTTTCCCTTGATGTAATGCTTTATTGCTGAACTGTAACATTAATTCTATCCATATGTACATTCAGTAGTTTCGAAGAAGGAAAAAAAATCAGACTAATTAGGATTTGTACAGTGATTCATGTATTGTATATTAAAAATCTAGATAATCAAACGGTCCAGTGCAACATTATTCTGATTGAATACAGCTTTGTTACACAAGACGGAAAAATCCCTTACCATTTTGATGCCTGTTGAGAACGTGACGGATTTGACCTGTCGTTGTGTTTCCAACTGCGATTCCAACTGTGCAGTCCGGTCCTTATGCTGAGCCAAAAGCATGCTGGCTGGCAGTTGAGAACTCTCCTGCCAAACACATCAACAATAGATTGGGTTTTAGGCAAAACCACAAACGTTTCTTCTTTGTCCCTCCACCTCTCCCTTTGTCAAGACATATAGTTACTGCATTATTACAACCAATTATTACAGTGACCAGTATTACTTTTGCTCTTTGTAAACTGCATTGAAACTTTCAAACCAACATTCCTAATACATTGTATTGGAATTCAGTTTTGCCGTCCTCACTATCTAAAATCTTGAAAAGCTTGTCAGTTCTTGGAGAACTGTGTAAATTGAAGGCTCAACACACCATTAGATTTTGTAATTTAGAACTTGTGCCTATTACCTGTATTACAGAATTCTCTGTAGTGATGCAAACTCATTTGTCCATTTCCTGAGCTACATTTTGAACATTAAAAAAATTGTTTTCAGTAAAGTTAAATTGCACAATAAAATAATGAATGTTTCTTGACACTACAGTATTTTTAATTTTTCCCTAAATATTTAAACCCTAGCATTAAATTAACTTCTTGTTACAGCCCCATCTGGTGGATGTAATGCAATGCATACAATGTTTAACAGTGTTGCACACATCATTCTGTATTGAGAAATGAGCTCAAAATAGGTCCAAAAACTGACCTTGAAGGCGAGTTTGAATCCAATGCCCTCTGAATACCTGCAATGTGCTGAGATCTCGCTTGCAGCAGAGAATGAAGCCACATGAGGTGAGCCTGAGAACACATCGCAGCACTGCAGAAAACTGGTGTTGAAGTGAAATTTTATTTGATTATAAATGGCTAGAGGGCGAGATCATCTGATGCCTTCTGGGTTGAAATCAAACCCAAGTCCCAGAGGTCCAAGGCCATTGTGCAACTCTGAACATCTGAGCTGAACTACTCACTAAAAGTATTAGTTTTACTTATTGTAATTTACATGTGAGGGTGGAATGCATGGAACTCTTGGTTTGGTTTGGATATTCCTAAGCACGAGGATGGCTTTCCACAAGTGATAGCCATCCGGCTGACAAAAAAAAAGCCAACAAAAGACTTAGGTTTCAGGTGCACACCCACCAGCTCATCCAACAGAGCCTGCTTATTCTTCTTTTTTGCCAATTGTTGCATTTGTTCTTCTTTTAGTAAACGCAACCGTCTTTGCTCATTCTCCTGACGTTCAAGTTCTAAGGCCTCTTCCAGCTCATCTTGCTCCCGAGTCTAAAACACAAGAGGGTCTTCACTGAAGGGTGCAAGGATGATTAAACTCTAGTTTACAAGAACAAGATTACATTTCACGTTGGGAGGACGTCCCAAGGCACTGGACAGTGTACAGCATTTCAGACTCGAGCTGGGGTCAGGGAGGGAGAAGGGAGAGGAGGTGAAGGGAGGTGACCGATAGCATGGTTGAAGAGGAGGGTTTTGAGGCGGGACTTACGAGGTTGGACACATTCAAACATGACACATTTTAAGTAAAGTGCAAAACATGGAGCCCCGGTATCTCTTGAAACAACAGTGGACATGACATTGAAAGATCAAGTATTGATTTCCAATTAGAAGGCCATTTTACCCACTCTCAATGGGAAAGAAAACTTTGCCATTAATCAGCCAGTATATATAGGCACCATATGTATTTATCTTGTGTAGACCTGTATGTGTCACCATTTTGTATTTTTGGGCAAACTATTATACACATAATATACCATTGTTAGTCCAAGCAGATCACAACCAAATACCATCCAGATCAGTGATTTTTTGGGGAATTAATGATTAGCAAGTAAATTGGAAAAGAAGAGAGGTAATTTTGAGATTTGTTTTTAGCCAGTACTCTTGATCGACAGGGATTAGTTGTCTCAGGAATCACTAGTATTTGCATTGGTGGATGTGTACTCTATTAACACACAGTGCATTGTATTTCAAGTCTAGTAACCTCATTGTTCCACAACCATATTCCATTAGTGTGGTTATCAGACTTTCTACTTAATATACAATCAAATGTTGAATTTACTTTGCTCTCATTGTAAACTAAATCACTGCTCAGAATCTGTATTTGCATGCGGTCACTTTCTACATAAAATCCTGCATGACTCTCTTCCCCTCCTCAATTGAAGGTGACTCATGCTGGAGACAAATGTACAGTTACCACTTCCTTGCCCTAGGGATCTTACGAACCTAAATAACAAACGATGGAAGCCAACTCAGCTGCGTAAGCCAGGAGAGCATGACAACTGAGCTAAACTTCTAAAGGATCGAGGGATTAAGGGATATGGGGATAGGGCGGATAAATGGAATTAGGTTAAAAGATCAGCCATGATCTTATTAAATGGCGGGGCAGGCTCAAGGGGCTGAATGGCCTACTCCTGCTCCTACGTCTTATGATCTAAACTGTTTATCTGACATCCACATGCACACACACCCTGCCTAGAACATGATTAGAAATAGGCATTCTGGCATTTCACCTCCCTTGCCCAGAGATATTGAGGCCAATTTTGTTGGCAGCAGTTGCTGGTTGCTGAGATGAACTTACTCAACACCAATCAGGAATCTGTGATGATCTTCCTCCTCTATATGGCTCTGTACCACAACAATCAGCGCATTTACCAATTGAGCCAATTAGGGTATATGCCACAGGAGCCCAGACTCCTATTACCTTCTTTAATACCCCCTTGTTGCCTTCTCCTTCACCTTCTGTTTGCATCATTTATTCTCAAGCACATTGATGCTTTTTGCTTCAACCACAGCTTCCAGCAGTGAGTTCCACAATCTCATCACCCTCAACTTGAAGAAATTCCTCTTAAACTCCCTATTGGATGTACGGTATTACTAGCTATTTTAAACATATGCCCTCTCATTTTGGATCATCAATAAGTGGAAACAGCCCATTAACGTTCACCTTATCAAATCATTTCACAACCCTAAAAACCTCTTTCAGGTAAAGTTGGCGTTCAGTGGGTAAAAAATTAACTGAACCTGTTGGGTAACTTTGTTTAGCAATGCAGAAAACAAAGAAAGTCCTTTTATTCTTGTTGTAGGATTTTGGCAGTTGTAAAAATAAGAGTGAACCACAACTGACACTCGGCAGCCAAAGGGACACATAGCAAGAACCAGAAATAAATCAAGACAAAAGTATTATAGATTAAAATTAATTAGCAAACATTTTATAGTTAACTAACCAATTTTATCTTATTCTTGTAAATAACTTCCTTGTTGTCTCTCTGGTATTGTTCCATTCTTCTTTTAGTATTCTCCAAATCCACATTGTTGGTCATATTATAAACTGTAAAAATATTTTGGCACACAGTAAATATGGCAACAAAAAAAAACTCACAAGTTAACTCATTATTGTGATTTCAACATGTTATAAGGATTTCTGGAAGAAAGAAGGACAGAATTCAATCGTGAAGATATGAAACGTGTTTTAATATTTGAAAATAATAGAATACGAAAAGCACTCTATTATTTTAAAGTGCTTCCTAAAAGTTACATATCGCTGTTCACCATTAGGACATAGGAATAGGATATTCAAATATATTCTTAGTTGAATACTATAACATTAAACTATCAATGATCATATTTATCATATTTATTTTGTTTTTCGGTGTTCAACCAAAATCCACTTTTGCTTCAGATTCCAGACATTCTGTCGTTACTAGTTCAACTTTACAAATATGTCGGCTATTAGAATTTTGTACACAGGTGGCAAAGCAATTTTGTTAAGAACTTGTGCCGTTATAGAAGCTGAGTTATGGTCAATTGACTTTGGAGCAAGCCAAAATCCACATTATAATAAGGAGTGTTAGAAAGAGAGCCCCACATCTGTCTTCAGCTGCATGACATTCAAATGTGGAATCTGGAAGCTTATTTGTCAAAAATAAATATATAAAACAACCCAGACATGTCTGAGAGTTTTGCACTTCTGGCTGGAGACCTGCAGTCCTGAAATCAGAATTCTCATCTGGAATGTGTGAATAACTTATTTGGTCTGGTTTTGCACTATTAGGTTGGGTTTACTGGCTGTGCACAGTGTGTAAATTAGCAAAGCTATCAAAATCCCTTCAGATGCCACTTTGACAAATACATTTTGAGGCCTAAAAGGGTGAAAAATAATTGGACGCGCTGAATTTATATTGAAAAAAAGTGGATGAGGAGGAGGAAAGCACTCTAAGTGCTTCGGGACGCTACCCCGTGTGAAGGGTGCTATCTAAATGCAATTTGTTGTTGTTGCTGGAAGTGGGGCATGGCGGGGAAATGTGTTTAAAAGCTTCAAAATAATGGGCTGTAGAGATCCCATTCAAACAAGAGGACACAATGAGCTCAAGTCTAGTATTGTAAACAGGCAGTATACTTTTATCTGCTTCCAGGACAAATCTTCAGCATTACTGACCAGCTCAAATATTTTGCTTAGCTTGTTTTAGCTTTCAAAAACTGATCAAATTTTGCACGTATTTTGGACTTACCAATATCCTCCACCTCTTCAAGAAAGTCATTGTATTCACAGAGACTGGGAAAGTCTTCTTCTCTTTTGTTGTATCTGTATGGTCAATGGGAGCAAAGTCATTCAACACTTTTTACAAAAAAGCTTTTCTTAATATATAAATCTTATAGATTATAAAAACAAGATCTTTATCTTTAAGTACAATGTGACGAACAATATTCCATTGTTGATTTCATTCATCAAGAAATCAGGATCTGTAAAAGAGCTTTTCAATTCATTTCAAATTCTACTCAATGTGTTGAGGAAATGCCAGCAAGTTAATTTCAGGAACCTACCAGATAGGTGAACAATGGTGACCAAAGGTCTTATGTCAGGAATACCCTTCATCAACTTTTCAGAATATCAATATTGATGTCTGGAAAGGATATTGTTTGAGTCATTACCTTGAAGTGATTGGCTCTTTGGAGGATGTCAGCTGATCTACTCTGAGCTGGGAAGGTAAATTAGTAGCATTTGCAAGTCTAAGTAGATGAACATCCAAATCTCCAAGTCTAATCACAACCACAAAATGCTAGACCAGGCAATAAGGATACCCTATTTCCTTCGTTCTCTGTCATGGGGAAGCACCAAAAAAGCTTGCAATGGGACCTTGATTATCCACCAGAATAGTCGGGACCCCCATGATGGATAATTGAAATTAGCTAAATCAATCCATACCAACTTCAAACAGAGGGCAAACCTCCCCTTTGCTTGGAATGGGTTCTGTGCAGCGCGAGACCCGGGGGCAATGGGGCAATGGTTTAATCATTCCCAGGTTCCGTTGAATCAGGATGTGATTATTATTACCTTTGACAGCTACGTGAGAGCAGTCATTTTTCACTCACAAACAGCTGCCTGGCATTCTACATGCACATTTACGCTGATTTTATTTACATGTTATTTACAAGACACAAAAAAATTAAAAGAGGATAATCAAGCATCCAGTGCAACATATTTCAAATAGTTTTTTTGTTAGGGATTGAAGATATTTACTTCTTAAGTATAATAGATTTTAAATAGCAAATAACTATAATTTTAGGCTTGGTAATCATTCAGCAAAAGCATAATAGGAAAATTAATCTGGACATTGGAGCATATTTTAAGGGCAGAAAGGAACGGCATTGTCAAGCATAGAAAATATCCCTTTATACAGATGGGTGAATAGGTCCTCATTCTTGAAGGAAACACAATGGCCGACAATAGATTTTCATCTTAAAGCTTCAATATTTTTACTTCGACTTCAGGTAAGTAAAATTTAAGTAAAACTATTGAAGCTTTAAGATGAAAAACTAATTAAGAGCTAAGATTCAGACAGGACCAGAATGATATTTTAATACATTTACTGAAAATGGAGCATTTAAAAACAACTTGCCTTTATATAGCACCCTTTAAGTAGACTAACGTCATGTGTTGACCTCACAGATGGTCGGAGTCCATTACTTACCCGTACGTGCAGCTTGAACGAGGTAGTGCTATGTTGAAGCATGTTACAATGGGGTTCTCCTTGGAATTTTCACGCTCAGTAAAATCTGTGTTATATTTACCACAACAAGACTTCCCAGTACCTTAGAGCAATGCTGTTATTGGTACCAAATGCTACCATGCACATCAATAAAATAAACCATGACAACTGTTTTCAATTTTTAAAGTGGTAAACTCTCAAAATGTTGTTTCTACCAGGAGCTCAGTCAGAATCTACTTTGAAGGCTTGGCTGTAAGAACTTAAACTGTTAGTATAAATATGTACAATAGTTACTCTATTACAAGAAACACATCCATTTGTATCGCAGGAACATTTACTCGACATTTTACAATAGAGTATTTATGATTCAATACGGCCTCCAGTGCTTTAGCTACAGATCTGCACACTGGAGCCCTCCACGGGCTCAAATCTCAAGCCGAGACCCAGCCTCTGATCAGTTACTTCAGCCTGTCTGCTGCTTAATATTGACTGCTAGCCAGATCCAGCCACATTGCAGAATAAATTTTTACCGTTAAATGGAATGTGAATTCAGAACTACTGTACGTTGCACACAGTTGAAAAGCCTTCTTTTCGCCTGCTTTTCATCTTGAAGAAAATCAAGCAATCGCTCTGGCTAATCTAATGTTTCTGGATCCCAATTAAACAGGTTTGAATGTGTGTGTTGCTGGTGTTTTTTAAGTACTGTATTCCTAAATCACATGGCTTCACTAATTAATGCTTTAATAAAGACATTCAAAAGCATTTATTCAAACAGAGTGGAGTGGCTGATTTGATTTTCTCAACCCCATCTAGGCCCCCGGATTTATGCAACACTCCCCAACGGAGAGGGTGGCCAAATGCCTGCTCTCAGGCCTGTACCAGTGTGCTCTGTAACTGGCTGTACAAAAACAACCCACAATCACAAGCTTTCCAATTTTCTCTCCCTGTGGGAAAACACCCGATCTGTGCATGTTGCCTCCACCTGACAGCTGGCTGCGGATGAGAACTCTCCATATGGGGAATTGTGCAGAAGAAATTACATTGCCACTCCACAGTTGTCAAGCGCTTTGAGGAGTTCTTTTATGTGAACGGTCCTGCATAAGTGCAAGCTCTTGTTTATGATGGGCCACTGTAAAGATCGAGACATTTGCTTGGAGGAATTCCTAAAGTAAACCTGTTAAATACTGGAAGGCTATTTAAACGTTGCGTAATTCTGTTCTCCACCGCTACGAACTTCTCCATTCACAGTCTTCCTCAGTAAATTAAGAAAAAAATGATTTCCTGCAGTAATTGCTATGTAATCTAAGATTTAAAACAAAGAAATAATTCAGGGAAGATGCTTTCTGAGGAGGAGTCAGTGTACAGAGTGGCTAAGCAAGGTAAAAATATTTTTTGTACATGGTTGCAAGTTCTTTCCTGGCTGGATATTCTATCTCAATTGTGAATTAATAATAATAATAATAATCCTTGCATTTGATATAGCGCTTTTCACGTCGGGAGGACGTCCCAAAGCGCTTCACAGAACACACTGTAAAGTGAATTGACTGTATATTTGTGGGCAAACGCGGCAGCCAATTGCGCACAGCAATGTCCCACAAACAGTCGTAGATTGAAAATGACCAATTTATTATTGTTTTTGGTTTTGGAGGGATTATTATTAGGCTCTGTGTGGAGTAAGGAAACTTGCCCAAGGTTTCGCCCTGTCTGGAATTGAACTCAGGTCTCTAATAGGGTTATGTCCTGAGCTGAATTTCAAACATCACGCCTGTCCCATTGCTAAGATCATTATCTTTCACCTCCATAACATTGCCTGCATATGCCCTTACCTCACTCACCCCATCACTGCTGCTATATTCAGCCATGCTTCCAACAGCTTTTCAATTGACGTTTCTAATGCTGTTCTCACCAAGTCTCTAGCTCCATTACAATAATAATCCTTGCATTTGATATAGCACATAATCATGTTGAGATGTCTCAAAGTACTTCACAGAATATAATGTAAAGTGGATTGACTGTGCATTGTGTGGGAGAATTCTCCAGAAACTTCAATTGATCCAATTCAACTGCAGTTCAAGTTCTCTCCTGCACAAGGCTCTGCACACACAATACCCCCAGCCTTATTATGCTTGGTTGGTTCTCAGTATCTCACAGGATCCAATTTAAAATCCTGGTCTTCAAATCCTTCCACCCATATCTCAACTCCCAAATTTTGCTATCTTATTCAGTCTACATTTTAGTCTATACCCTCTACCCTTCCAAATCTGGTCTATTGTTTTCACCTCACTCCCTTCATTCCTCCAATGATTGGTTGGTGAACCTTCATGCCCTTGTCCTCTGGAACACTTCCAAAACCACTTTGCCTTGCAATCCTCTTTCCCTGCCTTCAAAAGCTTCCTTAAAAAAAATCTCTTGGTTAACATCTCTTATTTCCCTGCTCACAGTCCACCCCTATATTTCTCAAGTGCTTTGAGACCTCCCTTTACGTAAAAGACACTATATAAATAGAAGCTGTTGTTGTAAGAATGATTCTCAAAGAACAAATAGCAGCCAGTGATCCATTAAAGAAACTAATTAAACTGAAGTTATTGCAGACTATTGTTTCCTTAATGTTCACCCAGAATGAAACCAACTTCAGTTTGTTTCCTCTGTTATATGGGTATTGTGAAGTAGATTTTTAAGGAGGTTTCACTCCACTGCACACTCAACACAAATAATATTGCTTACACTTTCAGCACTTTCTTGCGAATCTCTACTTCCTTGTCCACTGTTGGATCCTCAAAGAGCTGCACTCGGAAGTTGCTCTTTCGGAGTGGTGTGTTACACTCCTGACAGTTTCCAGAGCCTCGAACAAACAGCAGTTCCACACAACTTTCGCAACTGTTTGAAAAAAAATTAAAGGTTTTCATTATTTTAAAGAATACAAAAAACCCAAATAAATTTATTTCGCAACAGAAAAGATGCAGATCCATGGCATGTCATTGTGCCTATTCTGCATAAAATCTGCAACGAATTTAGAAACTTATTAAAATTGTTGTCATATACATATATACTGAACCCTCTCCAAGAGATGGACTTCAGTAATTAAGCAACAAAAATGACATTTTTGATGTTTTCTTCTGATAGAGAGATCAAGATAAACCATATTACCAGAGATTGTGATAGAATATGAAAATCGATAGCAGTGTATACTGCATTAAACAGCTGAGAAGTTGTGTCAAGGCAGCTCAATTCAGGTGTCCACTTTGTTCTTGTAAAGGAGCCACAGTAGTTCATAGCTCTTAGAGGGCTGTGTTGCTGCTTTACTCCACTTGGGGTTGTCTGCAAGCCACTTCAGTGGTTCACCTCATCCTCCCATTACCAATGTCAGCAGGAGCTGATGCATTGTACCACATACAACACAAGGCAGCCCTTAGAAATCACAGTGTTAGAAACGAACACTTTGTTTAGCTTCATCTAAAATGTGAATTTATCTCAAGAGAAGAGTATACTTATTTTAGAGGAACTTAGAGCGGAACCAAAATTTCTCGCTTTTTTCTCATCATTTTTATTTGGGAGCGAATTGGAATGAAAGTATTGAGTTCATTTTGTGTCAGTAGAGAAGAAAATACACACACCGCAGGGCTATTTCGCCAGTATTTACTACTGGATGTTATTTTCTTAATGTTTATATTCAATTCTTCAATTCTGACTTTGGTCTCTGCCTCTCTTCCTTTAAATAAACAAGTACTTAAGATGGCAGTGAATTTAAACAGAACCACCAGCAGCATTCAACAGACCTCAGGGAACTGTGCTAACATTAGATAATGCTGTTCAATGTTTGTTTTGTGTGTTTTTCTTCCTCGATTTGCACAGAAAATTATCTTGAACCTTCCCCCTCCTGAGAATGTTCGAAACTGGCTCAATTGTCTAACTTGGTCAGCCTGCTACTATTATTACCGGGATCAGAGTCCTGTTTCCAGACATGTTCTGGTATATATGAAGCCATGTTCGAAATAATTAATGAGGATTGCAAGAGATACAAAATAACAAATCAGTGTGTTGGTTTCATTTCAAGTATGATTTTCACAACCTTTGTATTTATTTAGGGGTTATTTAGATATTCAAAGTTCCCTGACACACTGTGCAATTCATGGAGCAGCCCAGGTCTTATAGTGAGTAAATGCATCCGGAGGCGGGGTGCGGGGGGTCGGGTGCGCGCGGAGAGGAAAGAGAAAAGATGTACTGAAAAATGATCATTAAATCTTTTATGTGAATTCTAATAGGGGTAAAGGATTTCTGCAAGCAAACTACAAAACAGTTCAACAAAGGGGCTCAGATGGCATCATAAAGCAAAACATAGGAAGTTTAATTTTGGCATCTAAACCCAAAACTGAATTTTGCTGTTTAATAATAATAATAATAATAATAATCCTTGCATTTGATATAGCGCTTTTCACGTCGGGAGGACGTCCCAAAGCGCTTCACAGAACACACTGTAAAGTGAATTGACTGTATATTTGTGGGCGAACGCGGCAGCCAATTGCGCACAGCAATGTCCCACAAACAGTCATATGGATTGAAAATGACCAATTTATTATTGGTTTTTTTTTTTTGGAGGGATTATTATTAGGCTCTGTGTGGAGTAAGGAAACTTGCCCAAGGTTTCGCCCTCTGCCTGGAATTGATCTCAGGTCTCTCACTTACAAAGCGAGTGCTCTAACCACTGAGCCACAGGACTCCACATGTTTGAAATGTTTGATATTTCATTGACAGGTGCACTCTTTATTGTTGATGTCTCACATGCATGAATTGTCTAACGGTTAAGACACTGGATTCGGTTTCCGATGAGGTATATGTGTAGTGCCTTAGATTATTATTATTATCCTTGCATTTGATGTAGCACCTTATCACATCATTGAAACATCTGAAAGCGCTTCACAGAATATATTATAAAGTGAATTGACTGTATATTTTGTCAGCAAAACACGGCAGCCAATCGCACACAGTAGGTTAATTCACGAAGAGCTTATGAAGACAGTGCTGAATTTACCAGTTTTATTCATAACAAGGTTGCAAGATAATTAATCAGTGATATTTTATGGAAGGAAGGCTTCACTTACAAACCTACAATCTTCTGATACAGGCAGGAAGGTTGCAGTACAACTGATCTCAACCAGGCTTGCCAGTTGGGGAGGGGAAACATTCAAGTTTTAATTTTAAAACATTCTCCTCTTTCTGTGTTTCACCTAAATTGGGCTCTTTATAAACTTTATTTTGAAACTTGCCTTCCACACAATTGTTGCAATGTTGCAGAATTTTCTGCTTTCTGCTGAACAAACAGGAATTGTAATGGAGCTATCATAATAATTGCAGTGACTAAGTATTTTCTGATCTCCTTTCCTGACAGACTTTTTCTTTCCATAGGATTCTCATTTCACCCACAAATTATAGTCAGTTCACTTCACAGCATATTCTGTGAAGGGCTCTGAGACATCTCGAACACATGATTAGATGCTATATCAAATGCAAGGATTATTATTATTACTACTACTATACGTTACCTTGCCTGCAGTCAGAGCTTCAAAACTGCTTGGCACCATCGAGTCTAAACCCTAATTCTGAGCTAGGGAAGGGAAACGAGAATCAGCCACAGGTCAAGCACCCTATCATGATCCAGTAACTTCTGCGAGAAAGTATGCGTGTGTGTACGTTGGGTGAGAACAGGATTGTATCCAGCTGTGACGTTCTCCAGGGTTGAACACCAAACCAACATCTACTATCTGGGCTGACGCATGAAAGATCTGCCAGTGGGCAAGTAAAAATCATGGAACCGTATCCCAGAAGCAACTCAGCACTTTCAGAAAAGAGGCGAAAACTTGGAAGGAAAACAAAAAAAAAGCATAACCGGTTTTGAAAAGATTCCTCTTGTGAGCTAAATGGTTTGGATTCTGTTTAAAAAAAGTTACACTTAACTGCTGCTTAAAACTCAAAACTACAAAGTTTTGTTTACACAAGTGTTCTATGGAATCACATTGATTTCATACACGTAACATATCAACATCAACTCCCTGAAGTGTTGAATAAAGGAATTTGTTTTACTATCACATGCCTCATTCCTGAAATTCACAAGCATTTAAAAACAGTTCTCCACTGAACTTCTGCTTAAACTATGGTCACAAAGGCACACCCTTTTCTATTATTCTAAAAAACCTTTTTTGTAGAAAAAAACAATTTTACCAACGAAAGCATCAAAGGAATTGGAGTATTTAACAATGTCAAAAAGGTAACATTTACCTTTTTAATCAAAATATAATCGACCAATTTTTCTTAATTGATGGGAACTGGCTAAAACAGTGGATCCATAATATAGAAATGCTTTGCAAGTTTAAAAACATTTCCAGAAAAACAAATTATGACATACAATCACACACTAATCAGGAACACGAGGAGGCCATTGAGACCATCACCATTTTACCACCATCTACCGTGCATGTTCTATCCCATTCTATTCTCCACCTTTCCTCCAAATCACGTATTTTATCTCATATATTTTATAGAAAAATACATTGGTCAATTTGCACAATGGAAAAGATGTTAAGTGAATAACTAATTTATTTGAAGGATTATTGGGTAGGACACAAAAAGAAATTCCCCTCTGTTTTTGGATAGTACGCTGGCATTTTTAAAAGGCCATCAAAAGAGGCAGATCTGAAGATGGCACTCCAACTGTGCAATGCTGCCTGAGTGTCTGCACTGGAATGTCAATGTAGATTATGATACCAAGTCCCAGTGGAGGGGCTTGAACCCATAACCTTGAGGATAGGGTACTACCAACTAAGCCAAGATGACACCTTTCCAGCAACAATAGCTTTTAACAATGACAAGAATAATCTCAAATGTAATACAGAAAATCACTATGACCTCCAGCATAACAACAAGTTACATTTATATAGTGCCTTTCATGTTGGGAGGATGCCCCAAGGAGCTGGACAACAACAACTCGCATTTATGTAGTGCCCCTCACAGGGTAGCATCCCAGAGCACTCGACAATGGTAGAGCACGACATCGAGTCGGGGGGAGTGGGAGGTTGGAATCAAGAGGGGTGGAGGGCAAGGAAGTTGGAGGTGAAGAGCATAACCGAAGGCAATGGCAAATTAACTATACTTCCTAGTCACATAAAAACTGAGGAAAGATAGTCCAGGCAGGGAATTTGAGACCGTCTCTCCAAATTGGTCCAAATTTTTTGGAATAGCATACCATAATACATAAAATGCAACAAGTACTCTGAACAGTTCTTTTCTTCTCCTATTTAACATCAAACTCAAACAAAGTAGAATTTTAAACACACCTGCAGCCTGCAGAGCACTTCCATGCAAATATTAGATCATGTGATGCTACTATGCTGCAGTTCCTTGGCTTGCTGAAACCATTTTCCTAAAAGTTAACTAAATTTAAAAGTAAATTGGATGTTTTCACTAATGTGTAACTTCCATCAAGATTTGCAGGATTAATCAGACGCACGTTTGGCAAATTAATGTCAGCTAAAATAGAATACATTTCCTAGTCACATAAAGACTGTGGAAATACAATCCAGGCAGGAAATGTGGGACTGTCTCTCCAAATTGGACCAAATTGTTTGGAATAGTATATGCATTTAAACTTAAGTCTACATGCATCTACAAGTGCTCCTCTCACAACAATTTAAAATAAACTTTGTTTTAGGTAACCAACATACTGATTTTTACTGGTTCATATAAACAATTGGCTTCAAACCATAACAAGAGTGTAATTTTATTAGAGCAATTCTTGAATAAAAACAGATTGCAATCCATTGAAAGCTTGGCACAATTGATTTTAGAATGAAACGGGTTGTTGTCAGGTTCCAGACAACCATTCAACTGTTCGGTATAAGCCCAGTACATAGCTGTTCTAAAAGACATCAAATGCTATTGTATTCTTATTAACAAAGCAATTGAATCACACAGAATGTACAACACGAAAGCAAGCGATTAGACTCAACTCATCCTTGCCAGTGTTTATAATCCACTTGAGTCTCCACCCATTCCTTACTCCCTCCCATACCATTCTATCACCCTCTCCCTCACGTGTATATTTAGCTTCTTCTTAAATGCATCTGTACGCTAATTCAACCACATCTTTGGGTAGTGAGATCCACATCCTCACTAACCTCTGCATGGAGTAGTTCTTCCTAAATTGTCTTCTAGGTGCCCCTGGTCGCCGTTATACTTGTGATCCCTGGTTAGGGGCTCGCCAACAAGTGAGAGCAGCAGCAGCAGCAACAACAACAACAAATTACATTGATGCAGCACTCTTCTCGTCGGTTGGACCTGCCGAGGCGCTGAAAGCAGCGAATTCATTGAACCCCTTTCCGAACTATCTCCGAGTCCAACTCACCGACGCCCCTTCCCCGCCTGCGACTTGCGCTGCCGCCCTCGCCTACGAAACGCACAAGTGGCGACCGCTTTCCAGTGAAGCCCGTGAAGCCATTAACTTGAAAGGTGCTGAAACTCAGGATTATTATTATCAATTATCATCATCATCATCATCCCACATGGGTTGCCTGTTTCCTCTGTGGGTTGCAAGGTCAGGGAGGAACAATAATAATAATAATATAATATAATAATAATATATTTACAGATATTTACTGGAAAAAAATAAATGTGTGAACCATTATGAACCTGAATATTGAAATACTGTGCGTGTAGAAGATAGATAGATAGATAGATAGATAGATAGATAGATAGATAGATAGATAGATAGATAGATAGATAGATAGATAGATAGATAGATAGATAGATAGATAGATAGATAGATAGATAGATAGATAGATAGATAGATAGATAGATAGATAGATAGATAGATAGATAGATAGATAGATAGATAGATAGATAGATAGATAGATAGATAGATAGATAGATAGATAGATAGATAGATAGATAATAGATAGATAGATAGATAGATAGATAGATAGATAGATAGATAGATAGATAGATAGATAGATAGATAGATAGATAGATAGATAGATAGATAGATAGATAGATAGATAGATAGATAGATAGATAGATAGATAGATAGATAGATAGATAGATAGATAGATAGATAGATAGTGGTGATGGCGGGGGGGGGGGGGGGGGGGTGTGAGGGGGGGTGTAAAGACAGACTCACAGCGTGTGGCCGCACACATTGACCATCAGTTTGAGCGAGGGGTTGCGATATTTGGTGGTCTTACACCTCGGACAGCCCTGGTCATCATCCATCTTCCCCCTTCTCCCCCTCCCTCCCGCCCACACTTCACTGCACTGCACTTCACTTCGGCGCCTTGGAAACGGTGCAACGTTCACAAAGCTCCGCCCGCAACTCGCGGCGACATCCGAAAGGGCCGGGGGGGCGGGGCCGGCGGGGGGGCGGGGCCTGAGGGGCGGGGCCCGTGGGGGGGGGGGGGGAAGACAATCGCCGCGGACCGGCCCCCCTGAGCAGCGACGTCACCACACACACACACACACACACACACCACCCACGTGGGCGGGTTGGGCGGGTTCGCGCCCAAATTGGGCGGGTTTGTGTTGTGCTGGGCGTGGGGATGGGGGTGGGAAAAAAAAACTACTTTGGGCGGGTGCCAAATTTCTACGTTTTTCATTTAATACCTGTAATACGTTTCCACCGCACCCACACCCCCACCCCACCGCCCACCCTCTCTTCTCGCACAGTTTCACACTCACCGAGACCTAAATCCACGTATAATATTGGGCTACTCTTCGGGCTCACATTGGGTTGACCTTTTGGGAGGTCCTCCCGACGCGAAAAGGCGCTCTACAGACGTAATGTTGTTGCGGTTGACTTTGGGCCACAAGACATGCTTTAATTTCTGGCAACCTCGCTCAAAATACGGGTACTTGCTAACCCGAATACTCTCCTGTGGGTGAGGTGTCTCTCCTCAACAAAGGTTACGAGGACCGGTGGCATAAGCTTTGGTCTCTACGCCCTTGAGTTTAGAAGGTCGAGGGGGTGATCCGACCGAGGTTTCTAAAATGATTGAAGGGATTCGACGGGGTAGATACCGAGAAACTATTTCCTCTGGTTGGGAGAGGAATCCAGAACGTGATCTTACAGTTAGAGCTGTGTCATTTAGGAGTGAAATCAGGAGACAGTTTTTTTTACCCAAAGGGCAGTGGAAATCTGGAACTCTCCCACCCACCGCCTCCCAAAAGATCCAATTCTGGTTCCATTCCCATTTCAAGACTGAGGTGGATAGATATTTGTTAGGTCAGGATATTAAGGGATAAGGGCCAAGGGCTGGTAATTGGACTTGAGGCACAGATCAGCCATGATCTTATAGAATGGTGTACAGGCTCGAGGGGCTACTCCTGTTTCTATGTTTCTATCAAATACAAAGTTTATTATTATCATCGCTGAAAAAAGTGATGCACCTTTGCTGCAATCATTGTTCTTTTTATGTGTTTTTTTTTCATCTTTAGAAACGGTCAGCTGAACAAACATGCAAGCAGATTACAGAGCCCGTGTGTATTTGTATACAGTACATTGAATTCCTCTCCAACATCCTTTGCGTTCGGAGACCGGAGAATACTCATTCAAATGTATGGTGTAAAATTCAGATTTCTCGCAGCTGTTCAAATCATAAAGCAATGAGTTTTATGAAAACATTTCATGAGTTAGATTTCGACAGGGTGGATTTCAATTACTCTTTTACACTGATGACACATAAGTTGGGAATGTTCTACCAGTATCTTGCCCTATCAATCCTCTAGATAAATTTGGTCATTCACTTCAAAGCTGTTTATGTGGGATATTGCAGTGACTGCTCCATTTGCCTACAAAATGCACAATCACTGCACCTTACAGTAAAATCCTGTGAAACGCTTTGAGACACCCTCTTGACACAAAAGGCGCTGCATCAAATGAAAAGCTAAAAAATACATTATATTGACTAATATTATTTTATTTTGCATTCATAAGAACCTACACATCTTTCGATAAATAAAACATTATAAATAATGCCAATCAATTAATATGTGGCTCATATTTATTGAAACGTTTTATTTGACAATAGTTTTCCCTCCTCAGTTCTTGCTGGAGTGCAGTCTCATTGAAGTAACAGGTTAATTGCAATGTTGCCAACCCACTAATTAATGGGCTGTAAAGAAAAAGAAAAATAATTCAGCATAAAAGCTATGAAATCCCTTTTGCAATAACCAAACCATATTTATATACTGTCTGCATTTTTTGCATGTTTATCTTAAAAATACACTAAATGGCAAATATGGACTTTGAATACTGAATGTTTTAAATAGACCTTTTGAAATAAAATCTTGGAATAAAATCTTAACAGTAAATAGGGAAAGCAGCCCTGGTTTAATTGTCCATTGAATTCTAGTTCTCTGAATAAAAGGATTTGACAAAGAACGAAGAAAAGGCATTTTTCAAAAAAAAAGATTTTTTTTAAAAAAAACTTTATTTTTTAAACAAAATCTTTTCTCACCTCAAAATAAGCCTCACAGGCAGGGTAGCGTCCCAGAGCGCTAGTTCAGAATAAAATTTTGTCAGAATTGGGAGAGTGAGGCACGAAAGTAGTGGAGCGTGTGAGTGTGAGATATGACTGGTGTGGTGGGAATGAAAGACAGACTGATGAGTATATGTGACTCTTTCATGCACTTTGGGAAATTTGCTGAACATCTTGTTTTTCCAGTCACTATCCCTTTAAATTGAATATTGTTTATTTTTTTAAAAATTGGCTGAGCAAGGCAACCTGCTCCCAGGTTTCCTCAAACACCAATGAACCAGAAGCTAGGATTAGTCTGACTCAGGGTGACTTGGCTCTGATTCTGCCTCCTCTGCAGGAAGGTAGTCGACCTCTCTCCCATCAGTTTCAGGAAGCCCTGGATTTAAAGCATCTGGCTGCCCGTGATTTATACCAGTAAACTGTAAGAGGTTATAAAATATAACTCACAGTGTGTGGCCTGCATATGTTAATCATTACAGTGCTTTGGGTAAGGGGGTTATAGCATTTGTTGGTTTATCGCCGCAGACATCCTTGATCATCCATTCTTCCCAGGTCCCCTGGAAACAAAGAAACACACACCATGGTCTTGACCTCAAATATTAGCACTTAACAAATGGCCATTGGCAGCACACCCATGAATCACAATGCAAGCACATTCATCTGAAGAGTGGGACCTTTATATATTGAAAAATCAAGGAACAAGCCCACCCCTTTAACAAGGTATGGCATGGCACATGGTACAATAATAAAATAATAATCCTTGCATTTGATATAGCACTTTTCACGTCTTCTGGACGTCTCAAAGTGCTTCACAGAATATGCTGTAAAGTGAATTGACTGTATATTTGTGGGCGAAACGCGACAGCCAATTGCGCACAACAGCGTCCCACAAAGAGTCGTGGATTGAAAATGACCAATTTATTATTGTTTTTGGTTTTGGAGGGATTATTATTAGGCTCTGTGTGGAGTAAGGAAACTTGCCCAAGGTTTCACCCTCTGCCTGGAATTGAACCCAGGTGTCTCGCTTGCAAAGCGAGTGCTCTAACCACTGAGCTACAAGACTCCACGTACATGAATGTATATGATGTACATGTATATGAACATCCCAGGTCACTGAATCAACCTACTGTGTTTTTTTAAATATTCAACCTACTGGCAGCTTTCGTAATTAATGTTGAAAATTGTAATTTAGAATACAATAGCAGCAACAACAACAACTTGCATTTTATAGCACCCTCCACGCAGGGAAGGGTCTCAGAGCACTTAACAGTAGCACACCATGATTATTACATTACAGGATCTTATAATGTTAATAATAATATTAATAATAATCAACGTATTTGGTATAGTGCCGGAAGGACGTTTCAAGTTGCTTCAGAGCATGTTTGAATGGTAATGCTCTAACCACTGAGCTACAGGACTCCACAAGTCCTGTAGCAAAGATTATTATTATTATTTATTATTATGGTATGACAACGCACATTGAAATGCAAATATGACATTAATATAGTTTCTCTACGTAAGAGATGCAAAATTGTAGCAAAATTGAGATGCAGAATAGAATCCTGCAATAGGCTTTGAGAATGCTGTTCGTGCTTTACCATTGGAAACCTCTCATGCAAAACAAAACAGATAAATGCAAATGCTTCAGATGTTTTTGGTGAAAGTATTTTCTATTTACATTTAATTTTTTTCATACATCACCTACATTGTTTATGTTTCTTTCATTTTGTGTTAGCTTGACTTAATTAGTTTGGGTTTCACATCAAGTCCTGAATGACAGCAAATTTCCTACAGTTGAATGTGAACAAGACTGAGGCCCTCTTGATTGACTCGCGTCAGCGCCTCAGCACCTCCGGTTCTGACAACATCAACCTCCATGGTTGCACACTACAACTCACCAGCCAGTCAGGAACCTCGGTGTCTTGTTCGACCCTCAACTGTCTTTTCTCCCCCACATTCAAGCCATGACCCGCTCTGCCTTCCCTCACCTCCGTAACATCGCCCGACTCCGCCACTACCTCACCCCTCAGGTCGCTGAAACTCTTGTTCATGCCTTCATCACCTCCGGCTCGACTATGCAAACGCTCTGCTTGTCGGCCTTCCCAACTCCTCCCTCCACAGGCTGCAGATAATCCAGAACTCTGTAGCCCGTGTCCTCTCCCGCACCAAACTCCGTGATCCCATTTCCCACACTCTCGCCCGACTCCACTGGCTCCAATCCTTCAGAGGATCCAGTTCAAGATCCTGGTCCTCACATACAAAGTCCTCCATGGCCTCGCCCCACCCTACCTCTGCGACCTCCTAACCCCCTACCAACCCACCCGTTCCCTCCGCTCAGCCGGCTCTGGCCTGCTCCACGTCCCCCAACCCACCCGCCCCATCATTGGCGGGAGGGCCTTCAGCTACTCTACCCCCAATCTCTGGAATTCCATCCCCCAGTCACTCCGCCTCACACCCTCCTCAGCCTCCTTCAAGTCCCACCTCAAGACCCTCCTCTTCGACCATGCCATCAGCCAACCTCCTTCACCCTCCCCTCCCTTAACCCCCAACCCCAGCTCCGGTCTGAAATGTACTCTGTCCAGCACCTTGGGACATCCTCCCGACGTGAAAGGCGCTACACAAATGTAATCTTGTTGTTATTGTTGTTGTAGATCAAAAATCTGTGTGTTTAAGCCTCACGTTAGGTCACCTAAACATATTATGCTTCACAGTAAAATCTTGCGAAACTCAGAGAAACTGCACCACAGCATGAAGTGGTAGGG